CTCCATGCCTTCGTAAAAGGCCCGCGCATATTCCCGGGGAAAGATGTTGCCGATCTGTAGGTTACTGCCAGCCTGGTAGCGGTAAATGTCAAAGTCGTAGATCGAGTATTCAGGCTCCGCTTCGTCAAGCCAGAAGATCTTGATTCCTTTGTCGTAGTAGTTTTTCTTTGCCTTTTCCCAGATATATTTGCGGGCCTCGGGGTTCGTCGCGTCGAAATGTGTGACGTCGCCGTCACATTGCATAGCTACTCGAAGGCCGCGGTCATGTCTGATCAGTAGACCGCGTTCGAGCATCTCCGGGTAGTTTTCGGATAGGGTCTCGACCGTCGGCCAGATGGAGACCATGAGCTCCACCTTCATTTCTTTGAGTTCTTTCACCATTGCATCTGTAGTCGCAGCCCTATCAGCAAATACCGATCATACATGCGCTGGAGTAGACTCACCAGGGCCCGGCCAGAATTTGGGATCAAAACTCCACTCTCCTTGGTGCTTCCAGTGAAAGAAGTCAACTACAATAACATCCAAAGGAACATTGCGTCGTTTGTACTCTCGCGCGACGTTGAGCAACTGCTCCTGGTTCCAATAGCGGAGCTTGCACTGCCAGAACCCAAGACCGTACTCTGGCATCATCGGGACATAGCCCGTCACCTTGCAATATGCTTCTTCGATCTCCGCCGGTGTATCACCCGCAACGACCCAGTAGTCAAGGACCTTTGTCGAATATGCCTCAAAGCTCATGATATTTGTTCCGAGGACGGCTCTTCCGATCCCGGGATTGTTCCACAAAAGACCATAGCCAAGAGAGGAGAGAGCAAACGGAACGCTAGCTTGGGAATTCCGATGTCCCAACTCCAAGTCGACTCCCTTGAGATTCAGATAAGGCTGCTGATATTGGCCCATACCGTAGATCTTCTCCTTCGGGTCTAGCGATTCCAGTCGCATCGTGAGATGATAATCTCCTCCCAGGATTGGTCGGAGCTCGCGCGCTTCAGTCTCGAGGGCGCTGCATTTCGGGTCCATTGGATCACGGCGATGACGGGCATATTCTTCCAGAAGCTTTTTACCATTGGAGTTGTAGATTGTGATCTTGCCTCGCTGAGAGACAACCGCCTTGATTTTGCCATTGGAAATGCTTGCCTCTTTGCCGGCGGGGGTTTCAATAATCGCCTGCTGTGTGCTCGGCTTTGCGGATAGTGCCCAATCTTCAGACGGCATGGACGCCAACTTCGTGGCTCTTAGACGAAAAGCATTCTCGCTCCATGGCTGGATCCAAAGAATGTGGTCATCAAATCGGTAGATGAGCTTATCGTCTTCAGCGTAAAGCATAATGGACAAAGTGGGCTGGTAAACACAGGTCGGTAATAACGTCCGTTATTCTCTTCGTAAAGCTAAGAGTAAGAGTGAATCCAGAAAGAAACTCGTTTATTTTGGGGTACAGCTCACTCATATGGAAAGCTTGTCACTGCACTGTGTCTTCGGTCAGAAGTCCAGATGGCCAGTGCATCATCCGGACATGTGGAACGCGAGATCCACAACATCTCCATCGCAGCTGTCTATGCGCCTGTCGTCATTTTCGCGCTGCAAGAGGGCCTAACGGGCGTGATATATGGCTGCAATTGATTGCTCATGTCCTCGGAAAAAGTCCTGTGGAGGCGGAGGTGGAGGTGGGGGAGACCAGTTGACAACCAACTACAATTCTTTGGAGCCAGAGAAGCGGAAACGCGCCGTTCATTCACATTATTCATCCGTTGGACTATCGGCCTGAATCAAAGGTTTAAGGCGTTGGAGAATAGCCTAATTGAGGTAGTGGGGTGAAGGACGATGTTCGAGCGGGGGAAGTCGAAAGTCGGCAGCGTTCAATTGTCTGGTCCACACTGGTGTTCTTTGTCAACACCAAGTATCTGGGGTCTACCAGAAGTGCAGCAAATGACACTTGAGTGTGAGCTAGCAAGGCGCGAATCTTATTTACACTACGCCTGCTATTCCAATCACTACGACTGCATTTCCTCTTCATGATCACTAAGGAGTGGATCATACAGAAGGCAAGTCAATGGAAGACCAAGTGAATCGACGGCAATTGCTATCGGTGATTGATTCGAGGTTTTGATCCCATTGACTGCAGATAGAGTACGCTCCAGACCTTGGGGCGAATCGACTGAAACCCTTTGGCTGATTCTCCTTTGTTTTGCCAAATGTGCACCTATAAAAGATAATCAGGCTGAAAGTCATGACGAGCACAAGCAAGTTTATCTTGCTATAGCCCTGAGGCCCAAGTCGCAGGATCGTCTACGTAAACCAGAGAATTTCGCGTATATTACTCTGCAGCATGAAATATGATTTAGGAATGATGCGGCTGTGCTTCGAGTCAGACACCATCTTGACGACTCCAAAAGCACTGGTAACACGCTGGCGCAATTCACATCTGTGCCAGAGGGAAAGTTGTAGAGTGAGGCCTGCAGACTTGACTTGGGCTCCAGCTGTCAGCAAATGTTGAGTCATTGACGCATTCTTGAAGGGGCCCAAGTTCTCTTCTGAAACTTCATTGACGACCCTGGACACATGTTGTGAGGCCAATTCGATTTCACATATGCCATCAAATCCAACAACGAAGGCAGTCTGTATCGGGTTGCTTGCTGAAGTCAAACTGAAGATTTGCAAGTAGACTTTGCTGCATGTCAATAATACATTTGAAGCCCAGCGCCAGCTTATTCCAGCTTCACTGTAAAAACATAGTCGCAAGCTATCCAATCTCAGGAGATCAAGCCATGATCGAATGGTAGCGTAAAGAGAATGTTAGTCCAATGATCCCGGCTTGCCAGAATGATGTAAAGGTGTTCGTCAATGTTGTTCGAGCAGACTGAGTGTGCTCAATGTACCTCTCTACATAGAGTGTAGATTCAATTCGTGGTTGGTTAGAAGACAGGCGTGATATCCAGTGGCGGAGTTGGAGCTCTACTCCGCCCGACGCCTTTCCCAGTTGGGAATCCGGAAGTGCTCGAAGTAACTTCTACTTCATCACTGACTGGACTCGCTGCTGATTCAGTTCGCTACATATTTATCAACTCCACGTCTTTTACGGCCCCTCAATTGATTGTCTCTACTCTCATAGTTTATCACCTTTACGAATCTGCCGATTTTCTTTTGTCCACGTATCTTGCCTCCTCCCTCATGGAGGTTGCCAGCATGACACAGCCTGACCCGGCAAACGGTGCTCACTCGACTTCCATCGCCATGGACGCCTCTATGGATATCGACATGGATATTGACCTCGGACCGCTTCCAGAGCCGGAGCCAATTGAAACAGTGAGCGAGAATGGCCCCAATTTGTCTGCTTTGCTCTCTCGTGATAACTGACATGTCTCAAAACTACCTTAGGAACCCACGACCACAACAGTCACTAATCAAGACGGCTCGGTCGATCCCACAACGGCTGAAGCGCAGTATGAGAAGGTTCACATACGAGGTGTTGATGATTTAACTACGGATAATATCAAACAATTCGCGACAGATTACTTCTCCGGCGAGGCCCCTTCCCGCGTCGAGTGGATCGACGATACATCCGCAAATATCATCTACTCATCTCCCGAAGTTGGTCTGCAAGCTCTGGCTGCTTTCACGCAGGCCAGCGAAGAGGAAGATACATCTTCATTTCCACCTTTGCGCTTACGATCTGCCAAGGCGTTGTCCACCCACCCCGAATCTGTGCTTCAAGTGAGGTCGGCAGTGAAGACCGATCGCAAAAGGCCCCGGGCATACGAAGCCAGTCGATTCTATCTCATGCATCCTGAACACGACCCCCGGGAGAAGCTGCGACGAGAGCTCGCAGATAGACGTCGTCAAGGCGGTGAAGCCTCAAGCGACGGTGACTATCAACGAAGACGGTTCGACGGTCGGGAGCTTAGACGGCGAAGAGACCGTGACGCGGACGAAAATTTCAGCGCCAATATGTACGACGATGAAGGCCCACGTGCTAGCTCCGACTATTCAGACACAGAGAGAGGCCGCAACGGACGAACACGGAGAGGCCAGCGGGAACTATTCCCTGACGAAGGACGTTTATCTGGCCGCCTTCGGAATCGGAGCGCCTCTCCAGGTCGCGACACCCTGGCCGAGAGTGGTCGTCTAGAGCAAGAGGAGCGCGGCACACGACGTCGCTTCCGGGAGCGCTCGCCACAGCTTATCCGTCGCAACGGAGGCAAAGAGCTTTTCCCCTCTCGTACTAGCGACAGCGATTCCAATGCCCGCGAGCTCTTTCCAAACAAGCCAACGTCGAGTTACCTCAAGAAAGAACTTTTGCCAAGCAAACAAAGCAATCATCGCCGCTCAGATGCGATTGATGCCGCTGATGAGACAGCAGATCTGTTCTCGAGGAGAATCTCCGTGCCCGGGGGGGATGGCGCTCGGGACCGGAAATCGTCACGCAATAAGAACATCGAGTTGTTTCCGGACTCGGCGGATCAAAACGGGGTCAACATTCGTGGAGCAGCTGGCCAGGACCAGGGCATCTCGATTCGAGGTGCGGCCAACGGCATGTCAATCAAGGGCCGAGGCGCATCTGTCCGAGAGCTGTTCCCTTCCAAGTTCAAGTCCAATGCCGGTAAAGAGTTATTCTCTGATAAGATTGAAGGACGGGGCGGCCCTCGAAGGAGGGCAGAGGACATGTTTGGCTAAGGGAAGGCAAGCGCTTGCATGAAGCATTAAAAATTTGGATTCTGCTACTGTTTCGTTCCATTCTGCTCTAACATCTAGGGATGGCCTGATACCATTGCATAGCTGATTTCATCCGAATCTTTTGAAACTATTCAAATTCTATTCGATCTGTATTATTATGATAATTAACTAAGAATTCTAAGCAATGAAGCGGCTGAATTTAATTCTATATTTTCTTGTTTCTATAGGGTACCGATATCACCGAGGAACGGAACTCGCTCACAGCGATTTGACGTCGTTCGGCTTCCTCTGTCAACATTCCGAATCGCTGGACACATCAGATTGGCGAGATGACGGCAACAACACAGCTGGCTAGTGTTCTAGTAGCTCGCTTTCTTCGTTCGAATAATTATACAGAGACCCTGAACGTATTCATCCGAGAAGCGGGACTTCCAGCCGACGCGGGGCAACCGGATGGTAAGACCGACAAGAGCGAGTGGACCATCGAGGGGGTCCTTCAGGAGAAACAAGTATTTGATGAGAGCGTAAAATTCGAGCGATACGGTCAAAGCGAAGAGAAAGACGTCTGGACGGTTCCAGGTCAGCCAACAATCGTTCTCTCTCTGACTTGCAGCCTCGATGTTGCGGAGATATTTATGTTTGCTGACACGACCCAGCACCCTCAACACCAAACGTCATTCAAACACCAACCTCCGCCAATCTCCTAGCATGTTCGGTAGAGCCCTGGCAGAATCCTAGCCAGAAGGAGAATCAAGATGACCCGTCACATTACATCGTCGCCACGGGCGCAGATAGACAAGTGCACCTTTTCAAGACAGACGATGGCAACGACGTCGTAACTTCGTTTACTGGACATTCTGATTCCCCGGTGCTATCATACGCGCCTATCCAAAATGGAAAATACGTCCTTATGACCAATATGTCCGGCCAGCTTCTTCTCCAACGGGGTGCCGAGATTCTGTCCCGCCGTAAAGACCATGCCAAGTATGCAGTCAAGGTGATTGCGTATGAAGATGGCCAGCCCGGACCTACATCGCAAGTCGTATGGGTCGCTACCGCTGGCTGGGACTCCAAGATCTTACTCTACCGTCTCCGTATCCCCAGCAGAGCAGGAGATCCAGACTCCGCGGAGCTCAACGAGCCCATCGCCCACATCAACCTGCTCACCAACCCAGAATCGATCCTCTTCGTCCGCCACCCAGATACCCAGGAACTCGTCCTGATCGCTTCGCGGCGCGACTCAACCTATCTCTTCTACTACGGCATCACGTCATCGACGCCTACCGAGTCGCCCAGCGAGTGCAAACGCCTCGGCAAGCAGAACCTAGCCCCTCACTCAAACGCCTGGGTGGCGTTCTCTCCTTCCTGCCTTGCTCTGAACCCGCACGATCCCGGCCTCATAGCCGTCGCGGCATCGACCCTCCCGCACATGAAAGTCATCATAGTGCGCCTCCTATTCCCGAAGCAGGAGTTGTTGGGGACTCCGCCCATGGGCAGTACGTCCGCGGAGCCAGAGACACAAGCCACGCAGGCCTTTGCGGCGCTTGCGCTTCAGAACCGCGAAGATGCAGCCATCATGATCCAAGCGAATACGTTTGCGCCGCAGACGGTCTACTCCACTCCGCAGGTGGTTTGGCGGCCTGATGGGTCGGGGGTGTGGGTGAATGGGGACGATGGGGTGATTCGGGGGGTGGAGACTATGACGGGGAAGGTGACGGCGATGTTGAAAGATGGGCATCAGGTTGGATCGAAGGTACGGGCTATCTGGGCTGGTTGGGTTGAGGTGCAGCGAGATGGCAAGGTGGTGAAAGAGGAGTGGCTTGTTAGTGGTGGGTTTGATAAGAGGCTTATTGTTTGGAGGGTGTAGATCTGCTTGGCTCGAGGTCTTGAAGCATGTTCTTTTGAAATCGAACGCATGGAGCTCGCAAACAAAGCTAACATAAAAAGAAAATAGGAACATATTGATATTCAGAACTATCTTGCTTACGAGTATGTAGCCCTCCATCCATGCACCCTCTCGCCACGGGAGAGAAAGGGAAAGGGTGTTTGGTAATAGGAGGGCATGGGATTTCTTCTCGGCACGTTGAAAAATCCTTCAGCAAACGCGCATGGGAAAGACACGAAGCTGTACACACATATGCCTGAATGGACGACGGGATGACCGAATATCGTTCCCGACGCAGAAAAAAGCAAAGACAAACTCAATCAAGTCGGCATGAAAGCATGCCCAATCGAAAAAACAAGATCATGCTCCAGGCACTCATGATGGCCAAGTCGTGGAATCGAATCCATTTTTGTGTTATTTAACAAGCCGTCGCGCGAAAACCCAGCCAGGCTCTTCCGACATGACGCTCTGTGTCATCACACGTTAAACCAACTCAAATCGCTTCCCATTTAATTTCGATGAATCAATTTATGCGACCTCCCGCTTGCCCTCCTTGCGCTCCTTCTGTAGGATAGTTAGCCATGTCCTCCGGGATCCAGCTGCGTCCGACTCAGCAGCAGCAAAAGGTCAACGTACCAGAGCCTTCATGGTGCCGTGAAGGGCGTGTCTGTGGTTGCGGCGGAACTTGGGGTCAACACCCTTGAGGGAAGGGTAACGGTGAGTCTTAGGCTTCTTGATACTGTTGGAATCAAACGGCAAATATCAGCGACCTGTCTTTTCCTTCTTCAAAATGTGGTTGGTGGATATGTTGCAAGATGGTCACGAGTCATTCAGGACCGATTCGGTGATGCCAAATCCATCACTGCAACAATCCTTCCCTTCCGACCAAAATATTTCGATTCAAATCGCTGAGGACTGTACGAACCCGTTACGGTGAGCCTTCTGGCTGCGGTGGTGCTGAGACGCGTTCTTGGACTCTGTTCAAGTGAAAATAACGGTCAGCGACTACCGAACAATCCGGGGATATTGTGCTGGTATAAAATCGATTCGAAAATTCCAAAACGCCGGAGTTCAGGTAACGTACTGGCCATCTTGACGGGATGTGTCGCAACAAGAAACGGGTTGACGATGAGTTGGCGGATTGAAGATGTCCTTGAACTGAGCAGAAGGCTAGAGACCCCCCAAAGATTCCGGCTAGGGTTCCGCTGGGAAAGATTTGTGTGGGATCTCGCTTACTGCTCCAGCGGCTAACGTCATTGGTCCATTCCGTCGGCCAACTGCGGCAGCGCCAAGTGTCTACCTTATGTTCACAACAACACTTGCTGCAGCCAGGATGGGGTTGTTCCTCTACATAACCCGAGACTACTTGTCTATATGTTTCAATTTTGACCACTTGTAGAGAGCAACTTATCAATCTTAAGAGGGAGGACTAGTGCCTCATAAGCCGGTAGCAAATGTGGACGGGATCCCGTGACCTGATTACTAAGTCGTATGCTAATACCGCTCAACATGGAGGATGGCCAAGTGACAGTCATGCCAGACATCACCTGCTTGTTTCAGGAAGGTGGTAGGGGGCAACAATAGCTTGGGTGCTCAGCAAGCCATTGCGAGCGCGAAAATACACTGGCATAAGCGTGGGAGATCTGTTACGAAGATCAAGGATAAAGGCAATTGATATCACGTGATTTTATATTGTGCTGCTTGAAACATTCATGTTGAAATGTACTGCGGAGTACGATTCCGGAATCAATGCATTCATCAGTAGAGTATATGCTATTGATATTACATTTGAGTATCTGCCAATGGCCTTTAGCATGACACTGTTGTCCGAAATGGATATGAAAGCATAACAATCGATGAAGTCGCATGCGCGACGGACTCTATGTCCTAGTAATAGGCGAAGGATATTGACCTTTCAGAATAGAAGAAACACTTCGTTATCGCCAATTGATCCATAAGACTTGTATAAAACAAATTGTTTGTTCAATTACAGATTGGCGTTGAATTCTTGGGCGTTGTCATTTGATGCCACTGCCCACATCTATCACGTGATGCGAAGAGCCGCTAGGGAACAACCGGCAGTCGGACTTCGACCTTTGCATCTTTGACCCAGGTTCAAGAGGGATACCATCACCACCTTCTCCCTTCCATCCATTGCAAGATGAGCTCTCTTCGCTTCGCTCGCTCTGCTCTCAGGGCTCGTCCCTCTGCTCTCCGCGTGCCTCTCCAGCGCAGAGGCTACGCTGAGGCTGTGTCGGACAAGATCAAGCTTTCTCTGGCCCTTCCTCACCAGGTACGATCCGAATAACTGAATGCATCCTTCTCCTCATATAGGCTGGAAACTGACATGGGTATTCTGGAATAGACTATCTTCAAGTCGACCGGCGTGTACGTGACGACCAACTCCCTTCTGATCGACGACCGACGATTCTAATCATGACTTGAATGCGTACTGACGACCTCCCCCTACAGTGTCCAGGTCAACATCCCCGCCGAGTCCGGAGAGATGGGTGTCCTCGCCAACCACGTTCCCTCCATTGAGCAGCTCAAGCCCGGTCTCGTTGAGATCGTTGAGGAGGGTGGTGCCAACAAGAAGTTCTTCCGTACGTCCGGACAACCTCGCTAAGATTTGCGTTGCGATATCGCGGTTACCACGAAGATGTCGCGTTGCTTTCCTTTAGAATCGCACTAACAAATTTGCGTTCTCCAGTCTCTGGTGGCTTCGCCGTCGTTCAGCCTGACTCAGCTCTGAGCATCAACGCCGTGGAGGCATACCCCCTCGAGGACTTCAGCGCCGATGTAAGTTGTGGGAACGAACAAAATGCCTTGATATACTTTTTTGACCGTCTTCTTTCAACTACAGGCTGTCAAGTCCCAGATCGCCGAGGTCCAGAAGATTGCCAATGGTAGTGGCAGCGAGCAGGACATTGCTGAGGCCAAGATTGAGCTCGAGGTAGGTCAACCACGAACGCATTAGCATGAACCTAGACTCGATGACTAACGTTGTCACAGGTTCTGGAGACCCTGCAAGCCGTCCTGAAATAGATACCTGATGTACATAACCACTCGCGATTGCAATTCTGAACTTGTAGAATTATAACAATTCTCCGGCAAGGTTCTTCCAATGATACTTGCACCTTACCCTACCATGTGCCCTTCTCTGTGAACCATGAAGTCCTAACCCTCAGGCGATCGTTGTGTGGGACGGGATCACGCCTTCCCAGAATGGATTCGCATCCTATCTAACTTCCTAATTTGGCTCGCAAACTTGTTATTCTTCAACCTCCCCCTCGATTCCTTATATCTAATTGACAAGTTTCCCAGATATCTTTTCCTGCCGTTGCCCATTTTCAGTTACCTACAATAATTCAGAATGGACCAAGTAACATCGCAGCGACAGTTCAGCCCTTCATATACATTGCAGTTCGCGCTGGAGGAGCATCTGCAAGAGAATGCCCCGGTCACTCCTTCAAAATCTCCAAACAAGACCAGGCTCACGGAATCGGAAGACGACATTTGCAGTTTGTTCGGCGAGTACCCAACCAGATTAGATGTGTCTCATGTGCTTGATCTCGACGGAGTTCGGAATGACCGAAGCACGAACGCCAAAGCTACTACTCCAACAGAACCCTCCAGTCGGCAGCCTGATACGCACTTCATCTTTGACGAACCCTTGCCCACAAATCCAACTAATAGCCCGGCAGCCGAAAGCGAACAGGCAAAGCACCTTTCGTCTGCGCACCTGTACCGCGAAAGAAACAGAAAAAGTGCGCTCTCGTCACATAAGAGTAACATCTCGATCACCTGGCCGGATTGCAGCTCAGAGAACGTCCAAGCCAGCCTCTTGACCAATGAAGATGGGAGTATTTGGAGACCACCAAAGCCACCAAAGCCACCGAAGCCTCCTTTCCTCACTGATGCTGCGGTAGAGGGTCTCAAGCTTTCTGGACAAGTACAACCACGAGCAAGTACAATCTCACCGAAGCGCAAGCACCCCACGCCATCGCACCACACAAATATTCCCCAGCCTCGAAGATGGCCTCGGCCACATTCTCGCTTTGTGGAATATCTCCCCTCGGAAGAGAAGAATGCCTCGACTGTGCAAAGAGAGGAGACATGGATCGATTCGAGCCCACATAAGCCTCATGATCAGCGGAAGGTCGCCCATCGCGGTGTTGACAATGCCTATGGTGTTCTATTAGGCGATCCGGACAAGCCATTTCCAGCTCCGATACCTACCAGTGATAGATTACCGCTGCTTCGGGCTAAACTTTCGCCTGAGTCCCGAGTCGCATTCTTGAGGTCACTCAGCACCGACTATGGAGCCTCCTCTAGCAAACCGAAAGAGAACACATTTTTGAAGCATTTAGGCGGTTTGCTGTCGCGTCCCTCGAGATTGATTCCCCACTGGCAGAAGCTACGCAGTTCTACTCCGATAACATTGACCCTATACCAGCCTCTGCACAGCCCGCGGTGCTCGTCGCTAGTTCAAGTGTCATACATGGTGCATGTGGAAGCCGTTTTATCAGCATACCGGAAGCGTGTCGCGGATTCCGAACAGGATGTACCTCCTTCCCATACTTCAATGGATGGATATACACGTCTTTTCGAATTGCGTCTCCCTGTGCCGACCTTATGCTTCGACATCGTCCAGCCATTCGTCGTTGGTATGCGGCATCCGATCTTAGTGACCATTGCATCGATGTTCGTCTGTGTCTTCGCAATCATCATACGATTCCTTGCTGGTATGGGTTGTCGGGGTCCGTGCAGCCTTTATGAAGACCACCACTCTTATTTGGAAGAGGAAGACTCGGATTCCGCTGCACTCCAAAAGTGATGGTTCATACTTGCATATCAGGGTTCAAGAGCTCCATGAGTGTATACCAACTCGTAATAGTTTTATGACTGTATCGTCCTGATTCAAGAGAGTACTCCGTTCTCGCATATGCATGTACTTGATTATAGTCATGAGTGAGACCGGAATGATCAGACAAGGCAATTTTACCTTATTAACTGCTTTTGTCATTCTAACCTAGGTAGTAATCGCGTGAAATGAAAGATCCCTAATAGAAGGCACCGAAATCCAAAGAAGGAAGGACCACATATAGAAGGACAAACATGATGACATCACAATCGTAAGACAATTTAGATACATTACAATCTGATACACAACCTGAATATGGAGAAAAGAAATCACCTTAGAAACGTGTATCATCACTCGCCCTTGACCAATTCCTTGAGTCTCTTTTCAAGAACCTGCCGACCTTCCGTGGTCTTCCACACCTCATGAGGCGCACCCTTGACGATATCCCAATCCTTCAAGTTCTTCGTGATCTTGGTCAGCTCCTCCTGCGTCTTGGCCCACTTGTCGCTCCTGCGGACCTCGATCCCGGAGCTTACGACAACAAGCGGCGTATCGGGCATCTGGACATGGCGCGCCGTCTGGAGCTCAGTGGCAGTCATTGACTCGGCGACGAGGTTCTCCTGCAATTTGGCCTTGAGGAACTTGCCCGTCTGGTACGCACTGCGGCCGTAGACGCGGTCTTGGCGCGTGCGGCCCTTGAAGATGGCGCCGAAGATGCGGTCCAGGCCCAGCGGGGAGAGGATGCCGCGGAGCCAGAGCAGGAAGCCGCGGCCGGCGTTGCCCACTTGGCCGAGGTAGTCCTCGTGCATGGCGTCGATGAGCATGATGCCCTCCGTTTCGAGGAGGTGGCGGCTGGAGAAGATCCGGCTGTAGATGGAGCCGATGCCGGAGGAGACCAGGACCCAGGGTCCTTCCTCGCCGGCGAGGGCGAGGGCTTCGGAGAGGGCATCGGCTGCCATGCCGGCGGAGTGTGGGGAGGGGGCATTGTCGGACCAGGCGTGTCCTGGTCGGTCCCAGTAGCAGTAGCGGTCGATGAGGCCTTTTTTGTAGACGTCGTCGATGAAGGGTTGCAGGGAGTGCTCTACTGGGCCTTCGCCGCCTTCGAGGAGGACGGTGGGTGGTTTCTTTCCGTTGGCGTCGGTCGTGCTGTTGCTGGAGCCGACGCAGGCGAGGTGGACTTGGTACTTCTCTCCGTTGACGAGGTACTTTTGTCCCGGGGCGGGGAGGGAGGCATCGCGGGCGCGGATGATCAAGGTTGCAGTGAAGAGGATTGAGACTATGGCGATCACGACCATGAAGATCGTTTCGACTAGCACGGCGATCCATTCCCGCAGGGACCGGCGGGTTTCCTCTCGTCCGGTAAGGCGCTCCTCTTCCTCCCTCTTGCCCCAGGCAACGACCCGGTTTTGGAGGACGTTGAAAATGGATATCAGGGTGGCCCAGACAACCGAGGCGATACCGACCCAGCCCTCTTCCACGCGCAGCTGAGGTACGCCGAGGATGATGCACATATCCACGAAGAGGAAGACGGCCAGCACTATGCCAGATATCGTCATGGCCTTTGACGGGATCGTGAAGAATAGCAGCGCGATAATGAGGTAGCCGACGGTGAGTGAGGTATATGCGAAGCTAAAAAAGCCAGAACCACGGCTGTGCATCATTGGAGGGCTGACGAAGATGGAGACGAGCAGGAAGGTCCACCAGACGAAACTGAGGGCGAGACAGAAAGAGGACAAGGCTCTGAGAGCCCTGACACTCCACAGATTGTAGGGGGATACCTGATAGTAAAATGATGTTAGAGAAACACGAACGCAGGAGGTTTGTTCTCTTCAACATCCGCAACTTACTGCAGGATCATCGGGACTCAGATATCCTTGGTTTTCTCTCGGCAGTAGTCGTGTCCGTTCATTTGCTTCCTGATGCTGCCCTCTTGCACTGTCATCCCCATCATGGCCTTGCTCCTCCCGCTCCTCTCGCTCGGAGTTTCTCCGCCACAGTGAAACCATTGTCCTCTGCGCGGTCTATCTCATAGGTAGGACCTCTGTAGTAGATGACAGTGGAGTCGTTATGACTATTCCGTCAGAGATATCGCGCAAAGAATAAATTAGTTAGACTTGACTAAGACGAGATGGGCGGATTATGAACAATAAAACGTCGAGATAGAGAGGTACTGCTAGTAAGGTAGATCATAAGTTCCTGGTGGAGTTGACGTCATGACGAACGCAGCCAGAGAGCGGCTTATTATCAAGGGAGCGTGTAATACCGAACAGGATCAGGGAAGGTAGATAAGCTCATGTTTTCTGCCGGAAACGGAGCTTCGTGTCCAGCTGATCATGGGGACCTCCCCTCCTTGACGGTCCCAGAGCCACCGATAGACATTCATTGATGATCCATTAATGCAGCTCCGCAGATCCCTAAATTGCAGACGCAGTGACGTCATCGTCAATCCAGCAGTGCACGTGATATGGATTACTCATCATCACAGAAGTACCTGAGGCACCAATAGATTTGACACCTGAGGCTGATCGCCTCGTTGCAGGTGGTCTAGGTCTGTCCGAGTTTCCCTATATACATCTCTCGCTTCAGGGCAACCACTGACACCATCTAGCATGGGAAACTTCAACAGCTGGCCGGGAAACAAGCCTCCTGGAGCCCTTCCCATCTCTCTGCCATCACAAATGATTTCGTCAACCAGTATACGAGATTTTAGACCAGGAGGTGATCATCAACAGCCCTGAAGGCAGTATCTTACCCCTCAGTCACGTCCTACCCTGCCATCGACATTCCTACAGCACCTTTCCCTGCATGATCAGTTTTGGTTGTGTTTTGTTCTGTATTCCATCATGTCTTTCCAGCTGTATGATGGAGCCATCACAGTCAACACAGACACCAGCCCTCTCGCCCTGGATGAGGCGACGCGGACACTCTACAACCGCGCCATTACCGACCCATCCTCACTGACCGATGCAGAACGAAGAAGCATCACCCATCGCCCGCCCGCAGAGGAAGAGGATGCCCTCTGCCGAAGCGCCTGTGGACAGAGCATGAGTAAACTCATTGCCAAAGCCATCCACAATGGTGATGCCCTCACGTACAATGAAGCCCACCTCCTAACGGCCGGAGTCGTCCGCAACCAAGCCGGACGGCTCCTGGCTGAACGGGTTCGACTCAGCGCCGCGGACCGCGATCTCACCCACAGGGCGGTCGCCGCTGCGATGACCGATGAGATGAAGGCCGCGCGGACCAGTGCCCAGGCTGTGCAGCACCGCTGGCGCACCGCACAGAACGCTGCAGCAGAGGCCCTGAGCGACGACGATATCCGGAATATCCGCTACGCGCTGCACGTTCCCTGGCAGGACCACGTTCTGAGTTTCCCTGAGGCGACAGTCTGTGGCCTGGTATTGTTCTACGCGGATGGGCCCGAGTGGGCCGACTTCAAGGCGCAGATCGAAACGGCCGTCTATCACGGGTTGCACTACAAAGCGCTACTCATGCTCATGGATGAAGCGGCCATTGCCAAGTTTACCCTGCACTAGGTGGCGGTTGGGGAGACCAACGTTGGATGCACTCCGGTGCAGGTTTCAAACGATGCGCGACAACAGCGAGATTCCGACGGGCCTCCGATTGGATTGTTTCCTCTACGTGGATGAGGAGTCTTTGCAATCGCGCGACGAGGCCAGAGCGAACGTCTGGTTGGCCGAGCCGGAGGAGACGGCGGAGCCACTCAAGGTGCATATCAAGCACATCGCCCCGACGCTCTTTGCGCGTCTCACTCAGCGCGATCTCTCAGGCGAGGCAAAACGGCGACCGTATCGCCACACCTCAGAGCTGGGACTGTTGCATCAGGCGGCGCGTCACTCGCGGAATGCAGAAGGAGAGCCGGATGGGATTTGGCCGCCTCCGGCTCGATATATGTGATTATCTTTATTCTCTACTTTGTCAGTAGAATAGTGGGACAATGGTGTACCAACTGCAGACTTGCCATTTCTACAACTATCAAGGTATATATACTTTACTGCGTATTGTGACCTATACACGAACACAAACATAAAGATCTAATCGTAATTACTCCCCACCGCGGATTGTACGAGTAGAACCGATCGGGGCAATTCCATGGATGGCCGTAATATCGTACTGGACAAGTTAAAAGCTCCTACACCCGATGACCATCCCATCTGCGTGAATGTAATGATGTTTATCGCAGCGAACGGTGCTTACTCACCCGCCAGCTCAGGGCGGCAATGCCCGCCTACTAAAACAAGAACAGCAACACATTCATCAACGCTTCCAAGTCCACAATGCTTCAATAATAAGACAAAATTGAGTTAACAATATAAACCATCATTGTAGATGTCAGCCCTCTTTTTTCTCCTATTCGCAATATCTAGTCCAGTGTCAAATCACCCTGTTCAGGTTGGGCTTACCCCACGTTTACCACAACACCATCTCTGATTAGATGATCAAATGAGCTTCCTTCCCAGATCAACGAATTTGCTCTGACGGCGATATAGACGCATATATAATCAGACCATAGCCATAGATAACAACCGCCCATGAGCGATCTTCACAAGGCTTTTGCCAAATCAAAGCTGGCCAAGTTGCCGCCCGAGGCCCCTCCTCTGTCTGATTCTTCGTCAATGAACCACCCCGCCGAAAGCAGTCACGATGAAGACTCGTCTTCAGTCTCATCCGCAGGGACTGTCATTCCCTCGCCGAGCAGGCAGCTATTTGCCAGAGCTAGCCCAGGGTATGTTAGCACGGTCTTACCACAGATGCATGCGCATCCCGGATGCATAATGCATAATGCATTCACTTGCCAACCCATAGACTCCATCGTCTCATTGCGAGAATCCAGCTAATGACATCCAGACCATCCGACTCATCCTCACTGAGCTGGTCAGACTTCTTCACTCAAGAGCTCTTTCTAACCCGCGAAACCGGCTCTCTCCGCATCATCCACCATGTCTATCTCACGCCGCCCACCGACTCAGGCCCACTCTTCATCATGCACCATGGCGCCGGCTCATCAGGTCTCTCATTTGCAACCTGCGCAGAGGAAATCCGCAAGATCCTCCCCAAAGCCGGGATCCTGTCGTTAGACGCGCGCGACCACGGTCAGACGTCGGTGCAAATGGCTGGCGGAGGGGCCGTCGAGCTAGATCTTAGCCTCGAGACTCTGCACCAAGACCTAGTCTACGTGGTCCGCAAGACGCAGGCGGAAATGGGCTGGGAGGAGCTCCCGGACCTGGTTCTTGTGGGGCATAGTCTCGGGGGAGCGGTGATTACTGATGTTGCGAAGAAGGGGGAGCTCGGGTCGAAATTACTGGCTTATGCGGTGCTGGATGTTGTCGAGGGTATGTATATGATGGCCCTATCTATTTCGCGGGCTGTACTGACAATAAATGACACAGGCTCGGCCATGGATGCCCTCCAAAGTATGGAGAAGTATCTCTCCACTCGTCCTTCCAGATTCCCCTCGTTGACATCGGGTATTGAGTGGCAGTATGTCGAATATCACTTCCTCTCATCACCGAAAGAAATCTCGACTAGAAGCTAACCAGCCCACAGCACACGGTCCCGGACAATCCGAAACAGAACCTCAGCCAGAGTCTCCGTCCCATCCCTCCTATACAAAGAAGAAGCGCCCTCAGACCCCGCCAAACCATGGGTCTGGCGGACCAACCTCTCCGCCACGAAGCCCTTCTGGGAAGACTGGTTCATCGGCCTCAGTCGGAAGTTCCTGGAGGCGCGCGGCGGGAAGCTCCTCCTGCTGGCTGGGACAGATAGGCTGGATAAGGAGTTGATGATCGGGCAGATGCAAGGTCTGTTTCATCTTTATCGTTCTTTGCCCTACCATGCTGACTTGTGTTCAAACCACAGGGAAATATCAACTCCAGGTTCTCCCTGAAGCGGGCCATTTCGTCCAGGAGGATATGCCGGCGAAGACGGCGCAGATTTTGGTGGACTTTTACAAGCGGAATGATCGGAGCGCGCTGGTGCTTCCGCCAAAGGTGGCTGATATGCAGGCTTCCGCTGCCATGCAGAAGGGTGCAGGTGCCGGTGCTTTGTTTAGTGCTTTGCATGGTGGTGGCAGCGCGGGACATCTGCAGAAGCCGTAGAGTAGTGAAATCATCTTTACTTTCTAATGTCCCGACAAAGAGGGATTGCCATGCCATAGACTTACAAACACGGATTTGATTAAATCATTATTGGACAGAGGAAAGCCAGGGACTTTCTTTGTACTATTGCCAATGTAACACCGATGCCTCCCCCCCACGACGCCGTCGAATATCAAGCCACTAAGCCCCATGATAGTCCACTGAGCAATGGGAAATGTAAGGGAAGACAGATCAAAATACAATACGGGTATCTGGCGCCACTTTTGCAACGGAAGGGAAACTCACAATTTCTCGTCAAGGGAGATAAGCCCCGCCGGCAATGATCAAATTCATGTTGGTGAACTTGACTTTGTAGACCGGGCTCTTCTTCGTCGGGAAGGCGCTGATCTGGTCAGGTGTGACGACGACATCCTTTCCTTTCTTCTTGCCCATTCCCGGTGCAACCGAGGTCGAGGGTTGGGTGGAAGCGGCCGAGGGGTTGCCAGCATCGACCTTGGTGCCTGCTCCGCCTTCGCCGACTACACGGCCCTGGGACGGATCCTGGGCTGGGCCGGTGACATCCCACACGCGGACAGTGCCGTCGGCGCCGCCAGAGACCAGGATTGTTGACTCGACGCTCCAGCTAAGGGACCAGATGCCTCCTTTCCCATGACCGCGCATGCGCTTCAACAATCTTCCGGGTGCCAGATCCCACAAGAGGATGGATCCTTGGTCGTCTGCGGATGCAAGTAGTTTACCGTCTCTGCTGCAGGCCAAGGCTGTGATATTGCCGGTGTGACCAGTGAACATCCGCACAGCGTTACCGGTGGTGACCGCCCACATGCGGACCGTATGGTCGGAGCTGCCAGTGAAGACGTAGGCGGAATTCGGGTGGAAGCAGATGCAGTCCACGTCCTGGTCATGGCCGACGAAAATGCGCTGCTGACGAATATGGTCTGTAACCCAGAGACGAGCGGTCTTATCATGTCCGCCGGAAACAAAGTAGTGACCGAATGGTCCCCATTGGAGATCCCAAACAGGCTGATCATGGCCCTTGTAGACGACCATGCACTGCCATAGATCAAGAGACCAGAGTCGGATGGTCTTGTCTGCAGACGAGGAGAGCAGCCAACGGGCGTTGGTCGGCGCTACAGCGCCCTCTGAGCGTGTGGCAGAAGGTGCAAATGCTACTGCGTAGACCGGACCAGAGTGGCCAATCAGACGACGCGAGTTCGAGGGAGGCGCATCATCCACGTTGTCGTAGGTCGTTTGGATTTTCTTGCCATCCATACTCCAAACGCGAATATACGACTCCTGCATGCCAGCTGCAACGAGCATATTATCGTCGGAGAAATCCAGGCAGTTGATTCTATCACTTCATTAATAATGACTTCCAGTCGAAGAAAACGGTCATTACCCACCCGTCGTAAGTGTTGTGAAATGTGAACATGCAAACACTGACTGCAGGACCAACACCTCCCGTCCGGCCCTCGATCCTGAACCGGTCACGATTCTCTTTCACCTTTTGGACTTCCAGAGCCACATCGCGCGCGGTCGAGGGAGGATATGGAATGTCGGCACGACTGGGCGCTTCGTCGTCTTCTTCCTTTTTGATCATCTGGTCAAACTCCTGCACAAGACTGTTGTGTCCAGGTGCCGGTGGGTTCTTCATGTCTTCGTCTGCTAATTCGCCTCGTACGTCTGTCTCAAGGGTTGATTCCATAGGAAGCTTGCCCAGTCGGAGCCGGGGTAATGTTCCAGCCATGGCCGGATTATCGCCGGTATAGGCCGATCCGGGATGGTGACCGGGAATGCCTTCATCTTCAGCGGGAAAGGTCTGCCCTGCTCCAGCTTGGCCTAGCATAGCAGCGAAGCTGAAACGATCGTCGGACGCACGCTCTTTGGTAATGATTGTGCAGTAACTGCTCAGAATAGCTGACATCACAGAGCCTCCCTCTTTCGACTTATTTTCGAGAAACTGCATAAGGTTCGAAAACGCTGGGTTGCTGAGTACTAAGCGATACTTGTTATTCCGGTAGAGTTTGGCCGTGGAGTTGTCCTGAACGTGCTCAGGAAGGCTGATGGGCTCCAGTTTACGGACATCATCTGTGTGCTCCGGGAGGAACAGATTCTTGTTTACATCAAAGAACTGCTTGGCCTCTTGTGGATAGAAGGATGTCACCATGTTGAGAAAAGAGTAAACAAAGAGCGGCCACAGAACGCGCCTAAGTTCGGGCTGTCCAAAGATAAGCATTGCCCATGTTAATGATAGAAAGTGGCCTACCTTGTACAGATCTAGATTGTCTTCAACCCAGCCTTTCAGTATATCTAGATACATGCCGCATTAGTATATGACTAATAATATGCCAAGTAGGAATCTCCTTACCGAACCCCATTCTATACTTGGGACGTGCATCCTCGCCAAGAGGAGGCAAAGGACGGCCATCGATTTCTTGGTTAGCTGATTCCATGCGCAGCATGGCTTCAGTACGGCTGTATCCTTTCTTGGCCAGGTAATCGATGACCTAGATAACATTAGCAACACAGTAAAAAAAAAGTCTGTACATGATGTAAAAGCGTGCTAAGAAATGAACACTGAAACATGATAGACTTCGTCCTCAAGAGACATGAAAAGCTGCAGCCATGGGTCTCAAGATGAACACCAAGAGTTTAGTTCAAACGAAACACAGTCAAAACAAGCCGGTTATCAATGACGAAAACCCCCAACACATGACAGGTATTCTACGCGAAACCCACGAACTCATGCACAGATGTCATCAATACTTACTATTTGATTCAGATTCTGCTGCGACATCGCAC